AAATACCCCAAGTGCTTCAGTTACCCTTAGCTGCCCTTTATCCCTCGGTTCCCCACAGCCCTGCCAAGCACAAGGAGTCGTGTTTTCCAGCACGTTACAGTCTCATCTCAAGCAGAGCAAACCCCACAGCTCTTCCTGCACTGATACCACCCTCCAAGCTGCTGGGGCAAAGTCTGGGGAAAGATGAGCTAAATGCCTGCTGCTCCTACTGCCCTTTAAGATCTGTGCAGGTCTCAGACTGATTCCACAGCATCCAACATGACATTTTGCCATCCTGGAAGGCAGCACAAGTTTCAGTGGTGTCCAGAGCACCAACCACCTCCTTGTGCAGTCAGTCACAAGCACAGGATATGGCATTTACACCAACTATGGGAAAACAAAAGATGCTCGACTGTCACACAGCTTATAAAAATATTTGAACACAATTAAATAAGTTCATGGGGTTACAACATCTTGTTCTGACAGCAGGAGTTCTGAAGTTGGATTTAGTATCTAACCAAAAAAAGCAGGCTCAAGAACCAACACATCACTGCTGGGGTTGTGCCTGCATGGCAGGAACTGGCCATTTACACTCAATTACCTCCATAATGGAGAAGAAACCTCTCTTCATAAACTGTAACTGCTGTTGTCCCCAAATTGTGGTGCCATGTGATGCAGAGAGATTGTTGGTGTCTAGTGACCCCAGACATCTGGCTTAGACATTAACAATATCACCAATATCTATGGCTCTGTACCTTAGAGTGGAGACAGAACAGCAGACACTGCTGCTTGGGATGTCCTTCTATTGCCCAAGCAAAACACAGCCATATTCTGATAACTAAAGCCCACTAAATAGTTCCAATAAAGCCAGCCAAAAGATATTCCTGAAATTCTTGTTAGCACTCAGAAGGTGGTTATTTAGCAGCCCACTAACAGGGTTAGTCTCCAGTTTTGCTCTTTAAGCTCTATTCTGTGCATAAAACTGAAAAGAGAAACAGTTCAAGCATGTTCCAGTATAGCTATTATCTAAAGAAACAGTAAAGACAGAGTCAATTGCACACATTGATCTCTAATTAATGGCACCAGAGGAGCTATAATCCAGCAGCCAGACTAGCTATGAAAAGCCTTCATCCTAACCCCAGACAGTCACTGGTTTACTACGTGCCTCACGTGAGAGGGGAACAAAATCTTGTTTTCCTCTAAACTCCCACGTTCCTTGTTACCTTTTGTCTGCCTTACCACTCATTTTTGCAGCAATTGCAGCAGGGGTGCTCCCCCCACGTGCCAAACTCCACGCTGGCACTGCAGCACTGGGTGGACAGCCCGACACCTAACTGCAATTAACAGCAGGATGTACATCATCCAACCCATCTCAAAACCATTCTACATCTCTGGTGTTTCTCCAGCACTCTCAGAAACATTACAGAGAAACCCAAAAGCAGCAGCCTGTAGCCAGGGATAATAAAAGCACACATATTACTTTCAGCAAAAGCACCCCAGCCCATCTTGGAGCAGTGTCCCTCACTTCCATGACTGCTGTGCAGTCCCCAGGCTGATGATGTAGGAACCTGAATTCTTTTTGGCTTTTTTCCAGACATCCAACCTCACATCTTGGCTAGCCCCTCCAAAAGGGATATTCCCTGGGACACAATGACATGATGCAGCCAAAACAAAGCTCATGCTGCTCCTGCTGAGCCCTGCCACCTCCCACCCTCACACACAACACCCTCCCCACCGTCCCCTCAGGCTCCTGCTCGGGCTGTTACAGGACACACACCTTCCCTTCTCCACACACCTTCTGCACCAGACTCCTTCCCTTCCCCACACCGGTTCCCGACTCAGCATTTGCAAGCCAAAAAGGCAAGTACATCTTGTTTAGAGTGATTTGGCATAACAAGAGCTATCCAGCTGCCTCAGCTTTTACCTCCCCTTGGTCCACGGGGAAGTTTGTTCCCATTTGTTCCATGCCCAGTTTCTGCATACACAGAAGCACTTCCTCCAGCGTGTGGCTGGCAAAGCCCAGGACCCTTTTGGCCCGTTCCCAGCTGGTCCTGCTGCCCCCAGTAGCCTCCCAGCAGAATCCCCTTCCCTTCCCCCAGTGAGAGGCAGGCAGGCACAGCTCAGAGGGCTCCCTGGCTCTGGAGGAGTGTTGTATGGCTGCCTGTCTGCACACACCAGCACAAGGAGCCCCCCACCCCACCAGCCTGCCCCTGCACCCCCACGCCAGATAAACACTCCTGGTTAGCACTCAGCCCTTTGATCTCGGCAACAGCTGCTCTACAGCTGCTCCCCACAACTGCACATCTCAGGAACCTCTTCCATTCTCCTGTCCTCCCTCAGAGACAGACACAAAGGCAAGAACACCACCAGCAGCCATATTCTATTGCAGGCAAGAACTTCTATCTCCATCTCCTGTGCTGTGCCCACCTGGCCCAGCCCCAGATCTTCCTTCCTGACCTGTGCCCCAGGCATGTGAGCAAAGACTTTTCTCAGCAGGAGCCCCCCCAGTCCTTGGGAGACTCTGTAGGGAGCAGGCTGCTGTCCCTCATCCCAGGAAAATCTCCCCCTGGGTCATAGTGGTTTGCAGGTGGTAGGGCAGAACTGAATTCCCCCCAGCTTCTCCTCTGTGCAACTAGCAAGCCCAGCAAGCAAAGGAGAGCCCAAGGCATGCTCTGGTTAATGCACCATCATCTCAAGAGTCCAAGAGGACATCAGCTGCTGCTACTATTAATAGCACAAGGTTTTCAGTGATACTTTGCAGGGGTTTGAAGAAAATGGAGAAAAGCCAGAAACCAACTCAGCATCTTGAATAAGCTGCAAGACCCAGAGACAGGATTTTAATCTGCTCCTTAGCTGGAACAGCCATTTGAAACAACCACCAGAGGACAACTACAGAGTGCAGGAAGCAGCACAGCCAAATAACTCTGCCTACAGCACTGAGCTCTGAAAACCATCTACAGTCCATTGCCTGGGTGGATAGGAGGCAAAGGCAACTGCTGATCAATCTGATGAGATTTCTCCAGATATCCATAAAAGATTGATACTCACATGCTGAGGAGAGCTGGTGGAGCTGGACTGCTTGCTTCTCAGCTTGCCTTCCAGAAGAGTCTCAGCAAAGTACCAGCGTGCCCCACCAGCACCTGTGCAGCAGCCCAACGATCCCCAGGTGCTCTGCAGCCAGGTGCCAAGGAGAAAAAACATTTCACCTGCTCCTGCCCCTCTGGAGCCAAGGCCAGGAGCTGCTGCACTCCTGCTCGGCCTGTTAGGAAGCTTGTGCAGAAGCCTTTATTCCTTCCTTTCAGTTGAAAAGGGACACAAACCCACCAACAGATTTCCTTTTGGATGGCTTTACCCCCACCCCAAGCTGTACACACCACACCCGTGTGTGTGCCTGTAGACACCTCATCAGGGGAGAAGTTTCACTACAAAGTGACAGGAAGATGAGCACATTCACTGGAGCAGCTGCAAGTTTATCCAACTTTTCATAAAGACTTAAGATTTTTAACTTTGTGTTAGAACTTCAGCTGCAGATGTAACTCCCAGGAAAGCCCAAGCTTTCAAGAGACATGATCAAGAGGAAAAAGGAAGGTGCTTCCCAGTAGACACGTGGCACAATCCCTCAACACTTTCACAAGCAGAACTGGCCAACAACTGAAGCTGTTTGCATGGGTGCATAGTAATGAAATGCAATATCTGAGCCAGCCATGTTCAGTATTCACTAGTCAAGAGGCAAGCCAAGCACTCTCCCAAACCCATCCACTCAGTTTGATTGTGTGAGTCTGTGTGCACATGTGACAAGGCAGGACTTCTGCTCCTGGTAACCTGCCAGCCACGTCCCATGGCAGGGCAGTTATGAAGAACAGTGGTTTAGAAAACTGTGTGCTGATCCATCGGAGTTGTGCTTGTGAAAGGTGCAACAAATCTTGAGCAGAAGGGGTTGTGTTTAGTGGAGGTGTGTGACAATCAGATATCATCCAGTGAATCACCCAGGACGACTCTCCTCACTGAAGAGAGCCAATGAACAGATGGAAAAGGAAAGCTCAGCTGCTCCCTATGGTCCTTCTGCTTTTCTGTGCCACCCACCCTTGCAGGAGATCTTGATGTCTCCACTACAGCTATGCCCTAACTTTCAGTACCAATCTCAGCTCCATCAGGTGAACAATTCCCTTTAGCACTGACTGGTACTTTAACAATACCCACCTGCTCCTTAAAACAACACCCAAATACCCTCCATCCCCTCATAGATTTCAGCAGAAGTTCCCCTGTGCTCTCAGCAGTACTGCTGTCACTGAAACCCAGGTCACCTCACCTGCACTGTGTGAGGCTATGTCCATAGCACTCTGCCAGAAACACGTCTGCAAGAACCTGACAGTGCAATCCTAACCTTCCTGAGCTGTCCTGCAAGCAAGAACCACAGGAGCAGGGATGTGGTGAGGCTGTGAGTGTGTGTGTGGGTCAGTTAAGAAGCCAAGCAGCAGCCTTTTGCATCCCTGTTAAGAACCAATTTCTGATACTGTGATTTGCAATATCCCCAAAGCAGGTCAGCAAGCCTTTGCTTTTCCCAGCTTAAATGGGTGCTCCTCCCACTGTCACATACCTCCTTCTACTCACCTTTTTTCTCCAAATTAAGGAGAACACACCTCCTGTTCTTCTTTATTTGCCAGCATGTAGGCTGGCATGGCTTAAACATGAATTTGAAGGTTTTACAGATCTTTAATATAAAGAAAGAAAACACTAAATCCCAAAATTAGCTTTCCTCACAAATGTTTTAGACTTACAAATTCAGCAGTTACTAAAACTAACTTTGAAATTCCCAAAATTACTCCTGGATAAAAAAAGGAAACCACCTACAGCCAAGTCCTGAGGACTTAATTCTCAAAACCCTGTGTTTTCTTAAAGCCAGAATTGTGAAGTCTTTCAGAAGGCACTGTATGACAGTGAAGAAATAAAACCCCATTTCCTCCATTGTGGGTCATCCTTTAAGGGCTATAAAAAATGGAAAAACATATACTGCCACTTAGTACTTAACTTGTTCCCTAATTACTTTTATAAAAACTATCTTACTAGGTTTCTGTGCAGTAACATGGGATTATTACAAGACTTCTGCAGACGTAGCTTTATGGAGGACAATCATCATGAGTTCCCACAGCCATCTGAAGCCAGTAGTCCAGATTTCTAAAAATGACAAAGTTGTACAAGTTCTCTCCTCCCTTGTGGAATCCGTGTTCACTTTCTCTCCAGGCAACAGGGCTGTCTGCAAAGCCATGCACTGTTAAGGTCAGCCAACAGGCCAGTTTGGGTTCACCAAAATAGCAACTGCAAGGAAGGAGACAGGACAGTAATTATAATGGAACAGGCAGCACGTTCAAACATACAATGTAAAGTAAAAAAAAATAAATCAAAATCAAAGACACAGGCACTTTAGTGAAAATTTGTAATTAACACTGGAAGCAACCTGCTTCAGTACATGATAAATTCAAAGCCAAATATTCTATCAGAAATGAGGTAAGACTGACTCTTGATTATTCCTATGATGCTTTTGGGCATGGCAAACCTGCAAGTTGGAGCAATTAAAGAAAGTTCTAAGTTGTAAAGTAGCTGAGCAGCTGGTGTGAATTTCCAACAGCACACCTTGTCTTTTGGAAAAGAGAACAGCTACACAGAACAGTTGCTATCAGGGCAAAAAAGACACTGGAGGAAGAAACGTTGTCAGGTTCTGCTTGACATGAATACTTTTACCACCAGAAAGGAAATGGATTACAAATAATCAGAGCCAGACATGATCCACTGCTCTTAGGTGGAGAATAAAAGCCAAGGAGACTTGTGTTCTAACCCTAATTAAAAAAAAAATTCTTCATTTTGTGTATTTTGATATTTACCCCCAACAGCACTGCTGAAAAAGAAGTATTTAAAAGTGATTTTGAAAATTAATAAGTGTTAGAGTACAAGTGTTTTAGTAACATGCTCCTGTCAGCCCTTACCATAGCTGCTCCAATAACTGAATTATCTTCTCAGGAATGATAAAGCCTGTAATTGTGCACAAAAAAGCTTTTTCCACCACCATGCTGGGCTCAGGACAGCAATAGGTTGATAAGAAGCTAGATGATTTGTTGTCTCTGGGGAAAAAAAAATCAAAACCAAACAAATAAAAACCAACTAAAATAAATATACTTTAAATCTACAGGAAGTCTTAGCAATCAAAACTTGTACCCTGCCAGCCCCCTGCCCACCCCCAGCCTGCACCTGGGGGGACAGGGTGAGGAGCAGCAAAGGCTGGGGCTCTGGGTAAGCAAAATCCATCCTGGTGTTATCCACACTGCTGTGGTGGCAGATCCAAACCACAGCCCCATACCAGCTATTTTGAGGAAAATTAACTCTATCCCAGCCCAAATCAATACACATGGGTACCCTGAATACACAGAGGAGTTACTCAAGGCTTGCAACAAATGCTTCAGTGCATGGCAGACTTCTCACTTACAGAAACCTCTCTGATTTATTATTTAACTCTTCCTTAGAACAAGTTGAGGCTTTCCTTATGTAAAATATATTTAAAGATCAAACAAGTTCAAATACTCACAAGCTCACTTGATTCAAGACAGCCCCCAGCCATTCAAAGAGCTCCTCAGTGCTGCAGGACTCCTCTGGCTTGCCCTGCAGTTCCTGACTTTCCAGCACTGGACACGGCAAGTCCCTTAACGTGCTGAATGTTGTTTTTGGCTTCAGGGCCTGTATTTGGTTTTTTGAGAAGTATGACATCAATGTTGGTCCCTCTGCACCTTAACAACACAACACCACAAACAGCTGTTACAAAAGGAGTGCTGAATACATGAAGCTGTCGTCCATGCCTGCAAGGAAAGGCAGGGTGTAAATCTGCTTACACACTGTTCATCTCAGGCAAAACCCACAGAGCTGTCAGCTCCTTCTCCTCATGGAATAAAAACCAGTGCAAGATCCAGCCACTTGGCACAGCTCAGTAACTTTACACCACACACCTTCCCTTCGTGCTCACACACAGGAACTCCCTGCTGCAGAAGAGCCACAGATGCCACAGAGCATTAGGTCAGCTCTAGGAGTTCCTCAGGCACTGCAGCTTGAGAGGGAGATAGGTGTGGTAGATGTACACAATGACAACACATTTCCAAGGTCAGGAAAAGGGAACTAAGCTCATGTGACTTCAGGCAGAATGCCTCACTGAGTGCCTAGAGGGATCCCAGCACCATCACATTCTAAGTTCCTGCAGATCTCAGGAATTCCTTTAGTTCCCAATTCTAGATTCCTGGAGCTCCCTGGAACTACAGAATCACAGAATGTCAGGGGTTGGAAGGGACCTCAAAAGACCATCTAGTCCAACCCCCTGCCAGAGCAGGAGCTCCTAGAGCAGGTACTACTTTGCAAAAAAATGTAATGTCATTGAACTTCTCCTAGAAAGTTCATCTTCTCATTGTCCTGTAAGGCACTCGGGCTCCACTCCAGCATGTCAGGCTACATGATCTGCCTCCAGCCTGCACCTCCCACTGACATTTGTTAGACAGGTTCAAACAATGTGCACTATGCCTTAGAAATCTTAGTCAAATGTAAAAATCATACATTTTAAATGCCTGCTGCATACAGGAGTCTCATCTATAGCCCCAGCTCTAGGAAGTTTCAGAGACTACAGCCAAGACTCCAGCAGAACAATTCCTCTGGCTACAGCATAGCTTCCCAAGTCAACAACAGCCAGGCACGTCGTCAGAGTGTTTTGGAGGCCAGTGAATTTCAGCCAGAAACATTTAACGTTGCCACAGAAATTACAGCAATAGAAAAGATTGGTTTGCCTCTGTCATTAAAGACACTAGATACTCCATTTTCCCTTCTTCTGTTTCTGCTGGAGCCAGAAGCACTGTGGAAAAAATAGGTATAGAACCCAAAGCCCTGCTTTTGGAAAAGTGGCAGACATTGGCAGGCTTGCAGCAGTGCTGGCTGTAGCAAGAACCACCAGTGACCAGCAGGAAGGCTGCAAGCAGAACCTTCACAGAGGACACAGATTCTCCTGACAAAATACAGCCCTCTTTTCCTCTTCCAGCAGAATCTACACAATGCCTCATGTCTATTAATAAAAGTCTATAAAAGTTTTATTTTTGGCAGCACTAAGGTTCTTTTGTGTGCTATGAGCACAAGATTCCTGCACAGAGAGGCACTCTGATTTAGCTCCATGTTCAGATGACTGAACTGACCCAGTTTTTGGAGGTAAGAAAGGGAGGAAATGGAATGCTCTTCTCCCTGAGTGCCTCTGCACTGACAGCAACAAACACCAGCCACGTACCAGCCCTGGAGGCACCTTCCCTCAGCCCAGGCTCAGTGAATCCAAGCCAGCTCAGTCTGAAGATCTGCCACTTTAGCAGGATTCATGTCACCATTTATGGTAGCAATCCTTCACTGTGGCTCTTCCTGAAGGCTACAAGGACAGGAGTTGCAAGCCTTAAAACAAGTTCTGTGGGATGAACAAGGAAGGATTGGAACTTAAAAGGGGAAGGGGGGAAACACAAGGCTGCAAAGGAGCTTGTGAGCAGCTTTAATTTCCCAGATCAGTTAACTCCCTCTCAGACTTGCTCTCGAGGAGCCAGGAGGGAGTACACTGTAAAGAGCAGCTGGGAAAGCTTTCTCAGGGACCTCTCTTGGGTCTGGGAGACCCTCCTCCTCACTTACACTGGAGACTCAAAGCAGAACCCACCCAAAGCCAGACAGCTCTGAGCTGAAGATTAACTTTTTTTTTTTTTTGCCAATTTTTGTCAGTTCTGTACAAATGCTACACATCCCTAAGCACAGCCTGTTATGAGGTACTACTACCCACTGAACACTTTGAATGACCCTCAGAGGAGGAATAATAAAATCCCAGAAGAAAAATTAATGTAATTAGCAAACAGTAGATAAAGGAATACTAGAAGAAAGGTGTTTTGAGACAATACAATTTCTTTTAACTACCACCTTTTACTCTGCTCCAATCTCAAACAAGAGCTTGAGAATAAAATAATGAAGCAGCAGACTGTGTGTGTCCATACAGGCACCTGGTGGGAACAAGGATTCTGTATAATGTCCTACTGAGGACATCAAAGCTCTCCATCTCAATTCTGTACAAATGCTACACATCCCTAAGCACAGCCTGTTATGAGGTACTACTACCCACTGAACACTTTGAATGACCCTCAGAGGAGGAATAATAAAATCCCAGAAGAAAAATTAATGTAATTAGCAAACAGTAGATAAAGGAATACTAGAAGAAAGGTGTTTTGAGACAATACAATTTCTTTTAACTACCACCTTTTACTCTGCTCCAATCTCAAATAAGAGCTTGAGAATAAAATAATGAGACAGCAGACTGTGTGTGTCCATATAGGCACCTGGTGGGAACAAGGATTCCCTATAATGTCCTCTACTGAGGACATCAAAGTTCCCCATCTCAAGTACTACACCACATATGTAATGTGCATTAATTAAAACCTCAAAAAAATGGGTATTAATAACAGTTACATATGTCACAGACCTATGAAGAGGCAGGGTTATCACAGGCTGAGTTACACCAGAGAGCCTGGGCAACACAGAGCCAAGGGCAAACAACTGACCTATCTCAGTGACTGCTGTGTCCCTGAAGTGACATGTTCTGCTCTGCAGTAACACACACACCCCAAAATAAACAAAACAAACAAACCAACACCTCTTAAACGTTTTTGTTTTTTTTTTTAATCTAACTTCTCCCTCTACTAAAAATGCATTTAGAAAATGATTGGGAAAGGACAGTAAACTACAACTATTTGGACTCTGCATCAGTTCTATGTCAGGTTTCTGTTTGGTTCCCCTTACCTGTGTGGTGCCAGGCCAGCAGGAAGTCAAACTCCAGAGGTTTCTTGTCCCTCAGGGCCCAGAGCACTCTGTTATGTCTCTTGCTATCAGGGTGAAAGCTGGAATCAGTCAAGTCAATAGTAATAACTGCAAGAATGTGCAAGAGCAATTGTTACTCAGCTGAAATAAACTGTAATATTCCATTCATTAAGACCTAAAACAACAGAAAGAAACCAAAGAACTTTAAACTTCTTTTCACAGCTACAGCATCTTTATAAAGTATTTGATTATGTAGACATGACACCTTGTTGTTTAAATAAGGATTCACCTCCTCCTCTCCTCATTTTGATATAAGCCAGAACTGCCTTCTAGTGACTGGAGGGGCAATGGCAGTGACAGAAGTCCCAAAACAGTGCCTTTAAAATAGCCTGGCAATTAGGCAAGCTATCAGCACTGAAAAAACAGAGTTTCTAACATCAAAAGCCACACAGATGGCAATGACACTTTTTCAGCTGTTATCTTCTAGATGAACTGGTCCCAGGCTAAAAGTTACATTTATTCTCCAGATGGAAATTCCATCACACATTTTACCTGACAAACCAAATAGTTAAATGAAATGTCTCAAATATAATACAATTCTCCCTTTCCAGCAAGCAGTCTTGGGTGAGGCTCTGTGGGGGTTTTTTTTGTAAAGTGTGCAGATTTTAAGCTCTACCTTAATTAATTAAGTATTCTCTGATTAAGTCAGGAGGTATAGATGCTGTGCACATTATACAAAAATTCTTGAGTCGTACATCAGTATAAACACAACAATGAAGGACAATAGATTAAAAATTTGACAGAATACCCAAAAGATCACACATTTGTTTCCTTAGAACTGCATTATTATTTGGGGAAAAAAAAGTAGGTTTCCTATTCATGCAGCCCTTGTATCTGCACCTGGAAAAGCAGGACCCAGGCAGTAAGCAATTTCAAGGGAAGGGAAGTGTCAGCATTTCTGGTCTGACACCCTGACAAGGTGCTCCACAGCCAGATCTGAACTAAGCTCTGTCAGTACAAACAGCACTTACTGTATCTCATTGCCTTTCTGCCAGAATACTGAGAGGGGCGACCTTGCAGCCCAAGCTCCTCATAGGTATCCTTATCCACTGACAGAATTAGTTTTCCTACAAAGAAAACAAACTTTAATGCAAATAATCTTCTACTTAGTTCCCTTTGAAGCCTTCTGTGTACCTTATACCATTTTTGTGCTTTGGATCTACAGTATTACTACTGCAATCCAGACTCCTTGGTTCCACTCAAATAGATTACCAGATGCTACAACTCAATCACCCTTTTTTATCAATGAGGTCTTATAACTAGAGAGAAATGTAACATTATTCCTGAGGCTGTCACAGCTTTTGTTGTACTGCCTGACTTCACAGCCTCAGTCTTTGCTCCACTTGTCCAGCAGCACTTGCTGTGTCCCACCCAATTTTGTCATAAAACTGTGATGGAAATGCAACAGAGTATTTTAACACACCATATCATTCTCAAAGAATAAACACTAAGTGTTTAAAAAGTGATGATTATTTTCCTTTTTGGGCAAATTCTGTCTTTAGGACCAGAACAAAAGAAGACATTGGAATGCAATGTTGTCACAGAAATCACCCTCTGCAGCAATCACAGTTCCAGTGGAAGCATGACAATCTGGCACCACATGTCAGTGAGGCTGGTTAGTTTTAATTTCCTTTAAATGAAGTAAATAATTTAACAGCAAAAATGAAAAATAAAAAAAATTACTATTTTTCTGATTTGAACAGATTTGTACTAAAGTTGGCAAGTACAGCAAGCATTAAATTTTCTGGTTTCTATCACTCCAAATGAAAACACCCAACCCAGGCAGCCTGTAAGTGCCACTGAAACCAAACCCTACCATTTGGCAGCAGAGCTGCAGTGTTGTCCTGGTCAATCCTTGTGTTGTAGGTGAGGGCATAGCAAGAACCTGCAGTAACAAAGCAGAGCCACGAGGTTACACAGTCTGCAGCAACAGACAGGACAGGAAACATTCACCTCGAGGTAACCAAAGTGCCAAATACCATCTGAATTGCTCTAAACCCTTGTGTTTTCAACAGCTTTCTTCCACCTTCTCAAGCAAAGTAACCTTGTGTTATCATCTTTATAAACCTTGGACCAGCTCTATTTTAAAGAACCTGTAACACAGACAACATGTGTCCCAGTATGAAACCACTTTCCTTCCACCTAGGACCCTCCCCACTCAGCAAATGGGACCCCTCACTTTTTTTTCCAGATATTCCTATTACTAGCTCACATCAAGGTGAAAGACATTCACACCACTACATGGATTTTGTGAAAAGATGAGCTGTAGATCCATTAGATAAAAAAACCACACAAACCTTAGCCCCCACCCCCCAAAAAGGATAAGTTTTCCTCTTTTTCTCCTGCCTGCTGTGGAACACAGCTAACATAGCTTTGTGTTAAAACATGAAGGAATCAGAAAGGGAGAAGGGAGCAGATTACTGGAGGAATTGCCATAAAGGTGAGCTGCAGAAGATGAAGAGGTGTGAGGAAACACAGAAACCCTCTTGACAGCTGACGTGGAGAATTAAGATGGAAGAAGGAGAAAGGAAGAGGGAACAGTGACAGAAGTTGTAGATCTGTTGAGTGCAAACAAATGGTGACAACATAAAACAGAAAAGCAGATCAAGAAATTAATACAGAATTTTCTTTTTTTTCCTCTTCCTTTAGCATATTTTTCAGTCATGAGACATACAGACTATTACTGCATCTGTCACGTTCTGATTGCCTCCTTACCTTTCTTCACAAAAGCATCAATGAACTCATGAGAGACCAATTCATGCACGGATAAATTCTTCACCAGGTAGTACTCCCCAAGGTCAGCAATAGCACCTCTCAGCACCTCAGGCAGCACGCCACATTCCGGGATCAAAAAAGACACCTGTTAGGGACAGATTTGTGACATGAATCACATCCTAAAATCTGGAAGAAAAACAGGAAATAAAAAAATTCTTCTACTTGAAGAAATCGGAATGTCGCAGCAAAATGAGAGGAATAAAAAGTGATTTCAACCTGTCTTCAAAACATCTCCATCTGCAAAGTCTGCAGTTATAACTAAATCTCACATCGCAGTGGGAACACAAAGATCAAAGAGGAATTTAAACTACTTTTTGAATCCATGCTTTCTTCCCTGTAGAGTATTTTGGAGGTATAGACCATCAGAACAAAACCTGAAGATGGGCTTAGGATTTAAAAAAAAATAAAAATCACACCATGTACATTAATGCTACAGCAGGTTTGTAATTTAAGGTAGGAAATTGATTTCCAAGCGGGCCAAGCACCTAGTTTTTCTTCCTAAACGCAGCATTCAGTCTTTTGGTCCAATCGACTCCCTTTAATTGCCCCTTTTGTTTAAAACCTGTCCTGCATGTGCTTCACTGATCAGGAGAAGCGTGAAGTCTGGGGGACGAGGGGAACTAAGGTTATTTCAGAGCCCAGGTGCGGGGAGGGAGGTGAGGGGCGCTAGGGGCGCTGAGGGAGGTGAGGAGCGGTGAGGGGCGCTGAGGGGCGGTGAGGGCGCTGAGGAGCGGTGAGGAGGGCTGAGGAGCGCTGAGGAGCGGTGAGGGCGGTGAGGAGCGGTGAGGAGCGGTGA